GACACCTAGTGGTATTTCGATGTACTCATAACCATTCGCGTGCAAAATTCAAATTTCGGAAACTTTTGGATTGCCCCACGTAATTACCTCGGTCGATAGAATCCACACTTTCGTCATGACCCGGGAGGGCAAGTTGCCTCTTTCCTAAATGGCAGATGATATCAATCAAGCGTTTCATTATTTCTCTATTTTTTTTTCACATTTTCATTATGCTGTAGTATCATCAGGCGCTTTTGATTGTCAAGTTGACAGTCAATTCGAGATTTTCAGAACATAACAAGTTGCATTGTTGAAATAATGTGAGTCTGAGAGTTCTCATGTCGTTTCAATGCTTTATGAAGGTTCTTGACATCACCAAACCCAGTCTTGTTCCATACATTTTTTTCATTGAGAAACAATAGGCATGGCCAACAAAACAATTTTCTTATATTACGGCAACCGGACAGTCACTCTGTTTTAGAACACTGTTCCAAATTAAATTTCCTCACACATAATTTGGTTTGTGCTTTAAGTTCTGGCAACTCACATGTCGGTTGTCCTCTTTCTATAATTATTTTCTTTTCAGAAAAGTCCCTGCTATTAAACCCTCATTTTAAAAGGCTTTCGATTGCACAGTCGCAGTCATGTTGTCTGCCAGCATTCATTTTAGCCGAGCCCTGTGTGTGTAGTCTAATCACTCCCTTGCCACTTGTACCACATTATCACACTTGCTTCCCTTAAAAGTGGATAGCTTCTGTCTAATGCGTCAAAATATGATCACAAATACAATCTTACACCATCTAAATATGAACTTACAACATTTTAATAAAACTTAATGTTATCTGTAACACCCAACAAGACTGAAATCACATATAAACACTTAATTTTCACATAACCATTGAAAGAACACAATCTTTCACATCCACATCACATGCCTAGAGCCAGCAAACCAAAACATGCTTCCCTTGACAACTTTGGGTGAGACAAATACATATGAAGATTAATGAAAGGAAACTTGGTCCAGCCCACCAAGCAGGGGTAGGGAGGAGGAGTAGGCACATGGCCTTGAACAGGAACACACACTAAAATGTTAAGATGACAATATTCACATCCTTATTATTCAAATTGAATTATTTATATATGACTTCTTTCCTCTTTGTTTCTTAACTACAGAAGTAATGCTTCCCTTGCTTCCATGCATGGCACACCACTGCTTAATGGGACAGTAATGGTTACCTCTCTCTTCCTAAGCTATTGCCTTCCTCAATATACGAGGGGTAGTCAAAAAGTTCGCTGAATGGTGGTATAGCACTCTAATGGTAGGATATATGGCAACGCTTACATTATCACTTTCAAAGTATGACCCTTGCGCGCACACATACTTGTTCCATTGATCCTGCCATTTTTGGAAACAGCGGTGTTAGGCTTCTTTTGGAATCTTCCGGAGCTCAGCCATCACACTAGATTTGATGTCCTCCATGGTTGCGAAACGTGTCCCTTTGAGGCCCAGTTTCAGAGTGGGGAACAGCCAAAAGTCACTCAGAGCGAGACCCAGAGAGTACGGTGGTTGAGTGATGACAGGAATGTTTTTCTCGGCGAGAAATTGCTGCACAACAAGCGATGTGTGGCTTGGTGCATTATCATGATGCAGAAACCACTGTTCCTGCCACTTGTCATGCCATTTCCTCTGAACTGCATCGCGCTACCTCTGCAAAACTTGCACACAGAAATGGCCAGTAACAGTACCAACTTCTTGCTCCAACTCCACAATGGTCATTCTTCNAACATCATCCTCTAACATCTCCTGCCCCTTCTCAAGCCAGGAAAATCAGTCGTAAACTGCAGATTTCTTTAGTGCAGTATCACCGTAAACTTGCTGCAGGGCCAATTGCGTCTCTGAAGCAGATTTTCCCAATTCGCACGTGAACTTGATATTTGCACTCTGTCCGAACGGCGACATTGCGCTGAATGACCAACACTCACATCTAATTCAAACGGAACAGTAATGACACTGCACACTGAAAGCTGTCCAGACTTGTGCCTGCAAGCAGACATGCTGAGCTTCCCGCCACAACAGTGTGTGTGCTATCTTATCGTTCATTCTCCGTCTGCAGGGGAATTCTGGGAACTTTTTGACTGCCCTATGTATAGTTGTGTTGTATTCTTCACAGGTTACACTGTGTATGATTTGTTGCACTACTATCTTCACTATGGGTCACCAAAAGATGGATCATATCTCTATTACATGAAGCGTTACCACAATCAGCACCACTTCACGCATCACGAATCTGGTGAGTATGCATGTGGAATATTGGGGGTGGCAGGTGGGGTATCATCATCAGTGTTTCCCAGTACTGAGGTTAGTTGGTCTCGTATGAACATTACAAGCAGGAATGTTCTATGTTTGAAGGTATCTAATCATTCTGACTAATGTTTTAGATATTAAGTTTTCAAGTTCTCATGGCAGTGAGTATTCAAATTGTGATTTTCTGGATTGTGACACCTTGTAGTATTGTAGGTGGACATAAATGTTTCAATGGAATATGTTGCCTTCATCTGCAGCATTAAAATGGGTGTAGTGTGGATATTGTGATGTTACACAGGAGGTTCAAAGGAAGATGGTCACTCAGATCCGTTGGAGGGGAGGAGATGGAGCCCAGTCTGAGCCAACAGGAACAGAAAGTATGAAATAAGAATGGCCCTCAGATAGTGTCCATTGCCCATAGTTTTGAACCAATGCTTCAGAAAATGCCTCTACTTCCTTCATAACATGCCAGAGTAAAGCACTCCTTTTCCTAACCCACTGGGCCCCTTAGCAACATTACTCTCAAAACCCTGAAATCTTGAGTTTAAGATAACCTTTCCTTTCAAACAACTGGCCCGGTTTTTTATATAACATTCAAGTTTTCATGGCAGTAGAGATTAAAACTGTGGCCCTTTGAGTTATAACACCATGCAGGCAGACAGGTTATGACAAGTAGTTAACAACATTTCTGTTTTGATAGGTTAACATCAAATTTTCTTTTGCAATGTAATATTTTTATTTCTCACATGGATGTTTCCTTACATAAATGTTTGTCTCACACTCTGGTAACAGGAAGGGAACTGAAACACAGTCTAAGTAAGAGTAGGCCACTAATGAATAGAAATGAAAGAAAAGCTTAACCTAATATCAAAACTTGATTTGATTTAACAACAGTATCTTGGAACAAACTAAGAAGTTTCTCAGTCATAGGTCAAAATGCTCTACAAGTTATATTATTAGTCAATTTTTCACAGTAACAAACCCAATGAGAAAAGGTACTTATCTTCCTGTGGTCCTGCCACAATCCTCACACATAACATTACAAGACTCAGAATGATGCTGATCCCACCCAAACTTCCAAGTGACTATCCATCCACCTCCCCACCAGTAAAATGATCAAGGGCCTTGCCTACTATCCAAAATGTAAGGCAATATGTCTTCTGCATAGCTGAGTTATCATGTAACCCCTCTGGTCTACAAAGAACTGTGCTGCTGTATCTCTAACAAACCTTGCACAAGGAATGATACTGGATAACACAAAAAACATAACTGGTGGGAAGTAAAGGAATTCCCATAATTAAGAGCACATACCAAAGAAATATACTGAACAGAAACATGCAGTGTTACAAGGTGGCAATATTATGGCCTTCAGGGATCAATTCACACCCAAAGATGAAAGAAGTATAACTGTCCAAATGCTGGTACCCACATACCAGACTACACAGTGTCATAATGCACAAGACCAGAGGATTCCTCACTTTAGTCTGTCAGTCAATGAAGGAAACAGAATCTCCTTCTGCAACAATGTGCCTTAAATAACTGGGAAAACAAGCAATGTCCAAAACATCAATCAGAACACTGAGAAATTCCTCACTTTTCCAGATTTTCATACAATATGTCAGCCTTTAGGTGCATGCAACTAGGGGTCAGCCTTTCAGTGCTTCCTACTAGCGGTCAGCCATTCAGTGTGTCCTACAGTAGAGGTCAGCTTTTCAGTGTGTTCTGCTAAAGGTCAGTTGCATGGTGTCAATACAAGTGCACAAAGGAGATTCCTAATAAAGAAAAAATGTTAATCTGCTTGAGATATGCACAGTACCCCCCCCCCCACCTCAAACAGGGGTACATGAAAAATAAATACCATTCAAAAAGGATTCTGGATGCACTCATTTTAACTACATTTTCCAATGTATCGCTGCCACCACTAAAAATACAGAATAGAGCCATCATGTAACCAAAAGGTCTCAGGTCTCTCCATAATGCAGTCTTCTGGGTTATGACATTGTATGATGTCATAATACAGAAGATAGCAAGAATCTTCACTGCCATGGAAACCTCAAGTCCTCTATAAGCATGACTTACTTGGTCCTGCCTCCTTAAATTATATCTCTCACAGGAAGAGTATTGTGGCTAAAGTTAATTTTACTGAACTGTCACTTCCACTTATGTTAACTATATGCTCCAGATACACTTCACCTTGTCTGCCTACCAGTATTGATTTCAGATAGTTCCGCTGCATTTTAAAGCTCTTGCTCTTCATCGAGATGTAACACTGATGTTCTGTTTACTTTATTACAGCATTTGGAATAAGCAGTACTTTCTGGGATAAGATCTTCGGAACAGAAATTGTCCTTAGGAAATTGAGCAGAGCTCTCAAATGGTGACCTTGAAAGTTCCCAACATTGGAGAAGCGTGAAGCAGTGACCAATTTTATATAGCCATAAAAGTGTACAGTATCTTAGATTGACACATGACTTCATCTTTGCTGAGGCCACAGATAGTCTCTCATGGATCTCCCCCTCCACACCTCTTTCTAGCTGTTATGCTTCCCCTCCAATATATTTCAAAAAAACGGACATTGCTAACAATAATCTTTATGAAAGACAAGTTCACTAATATAGGCCAGATGTTTCTGAAACATAAGGAACAGAGATGGAACCTCAAGCACTGTTATTCCTAACATCTGTGGGTGTTCTTGCCATGGCCTGAATACAGCAGTGAGACTGTCGGGTGTTACAGTCATGACATACCAGAGCTGCTGTGGACGTGACAGCATTTCATGCAATTTTTATACCTATGTATGTCTATATTTTGGGTTGTTAATACTGGGACACAACCTGAAAACTTTCACATTTTAAATTTTGTCTGCCTTGAAGTGCCTTTCCATTAAATTTCAAACATTTTCAGTGATTTTCCTGTTTTCTTTATTTAAGAGCACTGTCAGTATCTCAGACTACACAGTGTCAAACAACAGAATGATAACGAATTGGAAAGGATGTGGAAGGTAGCAGTAGTGGTTTCACATATGATACAATCCCAGCATTTCCTGAAAATGACCCAGCAAAAACTATAAGAAAACTTGCAGCCCCAGCCAAGATTCAAACTGAGAACCTCTTCAATATAAATGTCATTGCTTGAGTAAAGTAACTCACTTTTTTAAAGTCTGAAGCACTAGCATGCATCATGCACAAATGATAAACATATTTTTTGAAGCCAAGAGATAAAACTAAAAAATATGAAAAATTCAGTTCCTACTGCACATAAAACATCACATCACCATTAAAATCAGGTAATGCTGTTTGGGAAAGTAATCACTGTTTAGCCTGAGAATATTACTGAAAGACAATACAGTCTGTGGACAAAAGTGTAGAGTTTCAGAATATTATGCAGGGTACATATAGTTACCACTGTGCTGTGAAGAGAAGTACAATATTGACACAGTATTTGTAAAGCTCTGTTAACAAATTCAGTTGGTCTAATGCAAATGTTCTTTCAGATAATGACATTCAATATGTCATTGCTATCTGATAATATGACCCTGTTACTGTAGTTCTGATCCAACATTACTGCAAGGCAAACTGATTCTAAACTCTGTCAATGATATACTGGCAACACTGATGACTAGTCACATGAAGTATTATAATTCTGAAATCCAAATAAAACAGAAATAATCTGTCAGCCTTATCATGAATGCTAAATCACAATACATGATGTATGCTGGATCCGGTTTTCTTAACATAAATGAAATTAGTACCACTTTTTACTTTGTAAATCAGTATTTTGTGTCCTTGTACAGTTTTTAATAAAATTACTTATGTTATATAAAAATTTGTTTTTGATTATATTTAAATGTATTGTGACATGTAAACACATTGTCGGGCAACAGCTCGATAAACACCCTGTGATACACGCACACAACAACAGGACAACAGTTTATAGCACATTACTAGGCAACAGTCAGCGCACCAATGAACTGGCGAGATAGCTATCACGAGACTTGTTTCCTATGTGGTATGCACTATGCAACAATAGAACTGTTTTTTCTGTGTGTGGTTCGTGCTGAGAGGATATGAGAGAATACGGGAATGGGAATTGACTTTGAGTTCCGAAGTTCCAAGGGAACAGCAGTGTGGACAGAAGAAGTAGAAGACTCAGTATGTGATGTTACATGTGTAAGAATTAATTCTGGTTACGACTAGTGGAGAGTCCAGGAGGGTTCAGCAGTTGAGAGTACAAGACGAGAATGGAGCGTGTCCTTAGTGAACTGTGAAGATTAACTCAGTACAGATTAGGAGACAGGAGTACAGAGTGATTGATGATGAAATAACAAGAACACTTCATAGTGCTTTGAAGTGCTAGTTTCTGTGTTGAGATCCATTGCTAGGAGACTAGTGGAAACTGAGAATCCTAGTGCATGTGCAACGGCGAACTGTGAAGTGTTTAGATCAGTGATACCGATGTATTAATTGTATTGAAGAGAGAATGTTACTGATGTGCTAATAAATCCAATCATCTGAACTAGAACCTGCTATTTTTGTTGCACATACCACTCTAAATATGATATTTTGGTATCATAAATTGGCGGTTTTGATCGTACTGGATTCTTCAGCAGTGGTTATGACCGAAAATATGTGACAATTTTGTATCATTAGGCATGCAGTCATAAGTTTGTGAGAAATGAAAACTGCAGAAGTTATACTGCATTGGATCGTAAATTGAATAGGGCAGTCTTACCACAAAAATGGAACAAACAATGTGACAAATAAGGGAAGTGATGAGTGTAGCAGAGGCTCTCCTAAGTACCTACCCAAAAGAGGTGCAAGCCCACTACGTAAAGATGGAACCACTATGGACCAGGCTGCGGGCTGAAAAGGAAGAGGACATGAAAGCCAAGCAAGATAAGTTATATGCCCACTGGGCAGACATACGCCGACCAAGAAAAAAGGAGGGCAGGCATGAAAGCCTTTAATGAAATGACAGAGAGAAGGGAGGCTGAAAGAAAAGCCTATGAGGAGAAGATGGCTGAGCGAGAAGCTGAACCAAAAAGAAAATGAAAAGCCAACTTCGAGAAGATGATGGCCGAGCGGAAAGCTGACCAAAAAAAATGGAGGCTGAAAGGAAAGCTGACCGAGAAGTTGCGATGAGGCTGGAAGCCAATCACGTCAAGACAGACGCCAACCAGATGAAAGTGGAACCAGAAACAGTACATCAAGAGAAGACAGATGCCTGGATAGCAGACATGAAGGATGGTCGAAAAGAGAGGATGGCCTTCCAAGAAGCAACGAAGGCCAATCCAGAGACGATGGAGCCAAATCCATTAAGAATAGAAGGCTGCTGTGGGGTAGCATGAGATTCCTAATGAAGAGGCCACAATTCACTCCCTGAGGGAATGAGGAAAAGAGATGATGGTCTGCCAGGAAGTGACGGAGGCCAATCCAGAAAAGAAAGAGCCAACTGATCGCGCGATAGCCATCTTGGAGAAGACGGACGCCACGGATTTGAAGGCAAATCCAGAGGAAATGAATCAGCGTCAGAACATTGGGAGGTCTCTGCAGAAGAGGCTGCAGTGAAATTTTTGGGAACAATGAAGAAGCAGCACAGGGGCCGGCATCTATCTTCAGGGTGACGTAGAGAGCCAAAGGAACCGACCCAAGGAGAGTGTGGATCCTGGAGGAAATTGGCTGCCGCCTGCAGGAAAAGTCCCGTCCTGCAGCAGAGGCATGGAGCAAGAGAAACGTTTTCAGGGAAATTGTAGACCGCGGAAGGAACTGGCTGCTACCGACAGGAAGATGACCCAATGTGCAGAAGTGGCACAGTGCAAGGGATGCAGTCATGAAGAACCGTTGGTCAACCAGGGAAGGCAAAAGAATCAAACCAGAAATAGATTTGCAAGAGGAATGCGGAAAGGATGGACTCCCGGATGGAGACAACTGATGCGCCAGGAAGGCACAAAGGAAACCACGAACTGAGACTTCTAGGAGCAGCGACATCTTGGAAGCGAGATGACAACCAGCGGGACCTACAGGAATACCATCAGGATGGTGATCGTGAAGCGAGCAGTAAAGATTTCCAGCACGTTGTGGAAAAATCAGAAATTGGACTTTGTGGAGGGTTCAATCCCCAACGAAACAGAAGAAAAACTTACCAGCAGTGTTAGCGTAAGAAGAGCCTGGATATGTGGGAGCACCGGCTACTCCACCCACCGTGAGAAAGAGAGAAAAAAACAAGAAAACCTTTGGATGGTGGTGAGAATCTGGATTAACTGGAACCTTATAAAGGAACCGCTCAGGATGAGCTGGCCTTAAGGAGGGAGCAGCGGTAGCGGTTAGAGAGCAGCCACCGCAGAGAAAGAGAGAGACAGAGAAAAAGGACAACTTGCAGGAAGAAGACGTTGAAAGCATTGCCCCCAGAAAGGAAGGAAAGGTGACACACTGTTAGGCTATTCGAGGCGAACAGCCCCAAGGATGGAGCAATGTCAACACATTGGTACTCAATACACAATGAAAAGAGAAACAACTTAACAACACAGATCCTTAACTAATCATATAAAAGACGGAGGTGGGGACAACGCTGCCCGGACTTCAGAGAATGCCAAATAACACCCCAACATCCCGTTTTCACAGAACATTCATAATTTATTTTTAACTTAACATCTTTTAACTTAATTAAAAATCTTTATACAAAACTATAAGCTTATGTACTATGATACACGTAATAGTAGTCCCTTAACATGTTGGTATTGCCTTCTGAAGATGGTCTCAACTGACCAAAACATGTAAAGGCATTATATAAATATACAGATATTGGGTTACACTGGACGGTGTTGTCAAATCATTTTATAATAATTGACTAGTGTGATGGACCAGAATGAATAAAATTAAATCTTCGTCTACTTGCTTAGTTGTTGCTTGGTAACAAATCTTATCTGATTAACATTTCAACTATTGAACTGCCTTCTGAATTATCTTATAAATGAATCTCTGACTCCTGTCTGAATCTGAATCTCTTGAATTCATAAATCCACTGCCTTCTGTAACTGCCACACAGCTCTGATGGAAATCACCATGTCCAAGGGTTCCACTACTGCTTTTTATGAATGCATTGATCTGAAACGTACATGAACAGTTGCCTAGCAAAATAGATAATTCCAGCTTTTAGGCAGTGTTTACTGAGCACTGCTCAGGAATCAACTGCTCCAGCTGGCTGTCCCAGAAACCATGTTTTAACAAGCTGTTGTCTGGCAATGGATTCTGTCACAATATTAAATTTATGTTCTTCCCTTAGCATGAGAGATCAAGTTGCACACCCATATAAAGCAATGTGTTGAATTATAATTTCATACATTTTAATCTTCATGCAATTAGGAGACAGAAAAACAAGAGATTCTGAAATGAATGCCAGCAACCACTTCCCACATTTAATCTGCTCTTCAGTGTCTGCAAATGTAATTTTGATTTCTTACTGTCATTCCTAAATGTCTGAACACTGCCTACGTTTCAGTGGCTTCTGAGCTACCCTCACATTATACTTTTGTTATGCTTTCCTCTGATGGTAAGACACCAACATATTTGCATGTCATTCTAGACCACTCTCCTAGGTAATGTCTAATAATTTTTGTATTCTTCTTTATGGGACTTCAGTGCTCTTGCTCAATGAATTAACACCATCACCATAATCACATGCTGATGCAAAAATAAGTTCCATATTCTCCTGATTTAGTTGGTCTTCTTAATGGTGCACACTAAACAAAATCTGAAAAGGATTCACTGTAAAGCATCTCTCTGTTTTAACCATTCATTATAATCAGGCACATTGTAATGAATATCTGATTAAGACTACTAAATTGTAAGTTATGTGTCATAAGTTTGGATCAAGGAGACAGACACATTCTTACATTCAGAATGGGACATAGGCTCATTCTTGTTGTGTAAACAGGATGCAGCCACCAGCAACTTTTCCTGTTCTGATATGATGGCAGGGCTCTGGTAATATATTTAACAGCTAAGGCAAGCAATAGACAAAACACAGGTTGTCCCATATCAAGTTAAGCTTATTATACATCAAAGAGCTGTCAAATGTGCTGTTTGTATTTTAGAAAATCCATCTGAGCAGGAAATGCAAAATTTGGAGACCTCTTAGTTTCTGAACTAGGCTAATAAAGCATGTTGGAGGGAGGCAACTTCTGAAGGAAACTGAGGGTCTAAGTTCACTGCTTCAAAGCAGACCAGTTCCAAAAACTTTAAAAGCATTCAGATGCCAAATTTGCATTCCACAGAAATTTTGATCAACTTGTTAAACTGTCTTACATAGTAAATTATTAAGTGATCAATAGCATTAACTTTTGGCCATGTCCCATAATTTGGATGTCTACAATGGTGCCCATCCCACTGGGAAAGAACACAACAGTTATTCGATGTTACAGTCCAAATCTGTAAGCTAATAAAAATAAGTTCTACACAGAATATGTGGGCATGTGGTTCTCAAGTCCTGCACTTTCTGACCATCTCTGGTCTCTGAAGCCAGAAGTGGTTGGGACTGTAATGTCTAACCAAAGAGAATTGCCAAAATAGACATTTGCAAAGAAGCTGAAAACTCTCCATGCAGACAGACCATCTCCTGACTATCCAATGTTGAGATGTTCATGATGAGTACATAAATGTGAACAGCACATGATGGTTGATGCACATGCATCAAAGGGAGTGCATGAGAAAACCAAACCACTGTCACTAATGTCTTACACAACAAATACAAAAACAGTGTCGACAGGTAGGATGAGTTTCCTTCATATTATTCATTTCAAAGGTTGTCCGTAAAGCGGTGGACAAAACTTCTCTTTCGTCTCTTTGACGGTGCTATAGTAGATACATACATTCTGCATCCAATGAGGATTAAACAGAAGTTCAGACTGCGTAAGTTTTAGGAAAAGATGGCAGGAGCAGCCATAAGTGATGTTACAGTAGAAATAAGGAAGCAGTCACAGGAGAGTTCTGTGGGAAGCCTTGCAGGCAGAGCCCATTTTGCATTCAGGATTCCAGCAGCAGGATCAGACCAGTCACAAAAGACCCACCATATGTATAAGGTCTGTGCAGAGGCTAGCATCACACTGGGAAGGCCATGAAGAAATTCACTAAAGTGCATTTCTTTGAATAATTTTTACTCATATAGCATATACCCATTATATTATATTTGTTAGATATAACCTAAAAGTTCTGGACTGTCATAATATTTAAAGTTCTTAACATTCTGTCATGTGTTTCCTAGGTAACGCGACAAGAAACGACAGGTTTCAGATTAGACAAATGTTTATTGGACAATTATTTGTTTACATTCACAAATATAATTACTCTCAGTAATGACTTTCACATTCCCTCTTCAATGGCTATACTCTTGCACTGCTATTCTCGGTGGAGTGTCTTTGTTCTTGTTTTTTCCCTCATCACTCGTTGAATATAAACTATTCTTGGTTCTTCCCTTACTGCTCATTGAATCTGAACTGTTCTTGTCTATTGTCTTCTACGCTTTTACATCCTAGTGAGTACCAGGAATTAATTAAATAATCTTCCTGGGGAGTAAAGCGTGGCCGGCATGTAAGGCCGACAATCTTACGGCCATCTTTGAGCCAACTGTCTAGATAATGTGGGAGCCTCAACGCCTCACAACTCTACGGGCCTTCACGGACTGTTACAGGGATAGCTTTACTTTTACTTACTTTTACACTTGGACAGGATAGAAGACACCTTGTTGAAGGGTTCAGTTTCACGTGTTAGCTAGACTTTTCATTAGCAGGGTCTAGTCGTTGCCACAAGAAGTCAACAATTCGGTCTCTGTTAATTAAGCACTTCCCTAGGTAAAGGTCTGTTTATGTTTCGTTGCCTAGGAATTGTTAGCCGTTGACTGGCAATGGACGTTCTACAGTCCAGCCTTCCTGGCGGCAAGCCACATTATATGGAAAGATTCATGCTAAATTTGTAGCTACATTTATCATCTATCACCCTATGAAACTTCACATATCTAGACAGTAAATGGAAAGTTATGCATAAATCATAAGTTACCATGTTGCTTTATGTTCTACAAAATAATTACTTTAACAGAAGTTACATATTTTGTAGGCACCTGTTATGACAAATTTCAGGACCACCATCTGTATTAATTATATATACAATGTTGGGGTCACATCTAGCTGTCATGTTCAAATCAAATTTCATGAACCCTAAGATATGAGGTCTTCACAAATACGAAAATTCATATTGTGGTCTTCTGGGTCATGACACTGTGTAGTCTACTAGCTTCATACTGATTCAGAAGAACATGCTGCCTCCATCTTCAGGTTCCCTTGTTGCATATATAGAGGCAGAGGTAAGCACAATATTATAATTGTAAGATATTCATGTGTAATCAGTAGTTATAGAACACAGTAATACACATTTTAAATATTCTTTGGAAGCCATGGATGAATTTGCAGTGTCTAGCCAGCCTAGGAATAGACAAAACAAATTAGTCATCCCCCACATGTGAATAGAACAGAACCCACTGTTTGTTCATATGAGTCATGGGATGCCAAACCAAGATGATTTCAATGTCAAGACCTGATGTCACTTCAGATCATTGCTTGAGACAGGAAAGACCTACAAAAGCAGTGGGCCAGCCAGGCTACCACACCCTTGGGCAGAAGAGTTATATTGCCTGTATAATTCATCAAGTATTCATTAGTATAGATTCACAGTTGACTGGAGGGAGGGAAAGCAGTATGATCACGCGTTCTGTCAATCACTCTTGCATCAGAACACACGCGGCTGACAAGGAGTGATGAAATAAAGAGTTCATGCGATAAGGATAGAGTAGGCACTTCCCCACAGTTCACTTAACACAAGTGTAAAGAAATATTCACGTAAGCTACATAAGAACAGAAAAAATAGGAATGACTAATATGTATTTTCCTTTCAAAATCTGAATATAATCATATTATATTGCAAGTGAATTTAAATCATTTTCACGTATAATTTCCTTATACACTTATGAGATCGACCAAAAATCGTCCTGCGATTGACCGGTCGATCACGATCGACGCATTGGACATGCCTACTCTATAAGATCCATTTTAATATTGTCCACCCACCTATGCCTTGGTCTTCCCTGTGGTCTCTTTCCTTCTGGCATTCCCACCAATATCCTATAAGTATTCCTCTTCTTCCCCATTCGTTCTACATGCCCTGCCCAACTCATCCTCCTTGACTTTATCATTCTAATTATACTTGGAGAAGAGTTCAAGTTATGAAGCTCCTCACTGTGCAGTTTTCTCCACCCTCCTTCACTTCATCCCTCTTCGGTCCAAATATTCTGTTCAACACCGTTCTCAGACACCCACAATGTTCCTCCCTTAATGTCAGAGAATGCATCATAATTACAAGAAAAAATTAAAAGTAGTTTATAACTTCTCTACATATTTTCAAATCTTACGTTGTAATATGCGAACACTGTGTTCTTTGCTAATAAAAACAAAGTTAATTCCATTCATGTATCATAATAATTGTATTAGATACAGCATTTTCAAATACAGTGCGAGTGCCCTAACAGGAATGGGCATTTAACACGCACCAGCAACGGGCATTTAAATAAACTCTGGCCAGCTCAAGCTACCACTATGTTAAAAGTCTGGGGATTAAGGGTTAACACAAGTTTTATACAATATTCACCCTCCCAATATGCCCATTTGGATGCAAAATCCAAGAGGCCACAAAAGATTTTTAATAAAGAATAAGAAAAAGCGAAGTATCCAGGGCAGTGGTTGGATTCTGTCTGACAACAGAGGAACATCAGAACCCAACTTACAGTTGAAAATATGAACAAAATGGTGAAAGAGCAACGAGAGAGAGATGGAACACATACATACAACATATCAAGCTCAACAGAATCACAGATGTATTAACAAAATAGAAACCTCACGGGAGAAGAGGGGGACTGGGATGACAAAGGAAAAGACTGAGACATCTACTGAAGACAAAACAGTAACTCGGCTTAAATACAAATAAGAAGAAAACTTGTTACTGAACAAATTATGTTGAATATTCAGTTTCTGTAGCATTACCTTTAACTGGTGTCAGGTCTGCCAACAGATTTCCTCACCATGCTGAGCTGTGCAAAGGTGCTTTTATTTGGAGGTGGGTTCAGTTTGGAGGCCAAGTGAACAAATGGTTCATACAGAGTTGTTCGATCCATTGCATTCACTTCATAGTGTCGAATCTTTTCTCTAGTAGCCCAGTGCATGGCTTTACTTGTTGTGTTTTCTATGCTTCCCGAATCTGTAGGCTTCATTCGATTCCCAAGTACAATCACGGTGACCTGTATGATATTTCATAATTGTATCCAACTGTGAATAGAATATATTCATCCTCCACTATAAAAACATTCAGAGACATTACTCGTAAATCCATATCCGCAACATCTAGCATCTGCTAGCAAGGTACATGTTAAACCAGCATAAATATCAGTTAATAAGATCTATGACTATGTAAATTGAATTCCATTCCTGTCAGAGCAGTGATTTTTTGTTTCTCCACAACATCTGAACAAGCTCTGGGGCCACCCAGACTTCTGTATCCAGTAGATACAGAGCCTCATTCCCCTGGGGAAAAAAGCACCTTGGAGGTGAAGCTGACCACTCACTCTCACCTAATGTTGTTGTTAAGAATGGACTCCTCCCCCATGTCTTCACAGGGAGTGTTTAATTAAGCAAAAGGGAAATTTTATGTCCACTTTAGTCCTTCAGTATGCAACAGAAGTTGCAAAAATGTGGCCGTTGCCTTGCTTACATCTGTCTGCCTGTGCACATGTAATAACTTCAGATCTGCTAAATGGACTTTCATTTATTTCATACAATATATGTACACCTACAAAGCAACTTATTACTGTCTCCTTTCCTTCTTACAACACGTTTCTGCCATACATGACCATGACCAGACAACTCTAATTTGCTAAAACTGTTGCACCATATTGAATGTCCAACTTGTCATATCACATGTTCACAAGTACACGGTGTGTGCACGATCCATTAGGATTCATTTTTTTAAATTTTGTCCTGCAATGCCATCTGTTGGCAAGTTGTGGTGTTAAGATTCTTGAAGTTTCAGCTTTGACTGTCTATAATTTCAAAGCACAAGCATCGCTGCATCATGTGTTCTGACCCTGAATGTAACAGTACTGTTCTGATGCTTGTCGGAAAATGGTGAATGAACAGAAAGCCAACATCAAATTTTGTTTGAAGTTAGGCAAAAAAGCCGGAGAAGCATATGAAATGATGAAAAGAGTGTACGGTACTGATTGTTTGAGTCGCTCGAACATTTTTTGACGGTATGCTGTATTTCATGAGGGCAGGGAGGACACTGAAGATGCTCCACGTGCATCAAAGCCAAGAACAAGTTGCATTGGATAAAATGTGAAAAAAGTGACCAAAATCCTTGCGTCAGAGAGATGTGTTTCTGCAAGACTCATCGAGGAGCTTTTGGGAATACCAAAAGGTACTGTGAATCAAATTTTGACTGAGGATTTGGGTAAGCAGAAGGTCTGTGCGCGGTTTGTACCACACACGCTGTCAGGCGATGAAAAAAAAATGCAAGAGTGGAACACTGCAAAGACATCTTACGGTCAGCCCAAAGTGATACAAAATTTACAAAATCGATTGTGACTGGTGACGAGACGTGGTGTTTTCAATATGAGCCTCTCACAAAGCAGCAGAGTGCAGTGTGGTTGGGCGAAAAGAAGCTCCCTTCTGTGATGATCCAGGTTCAATCCCAGGTCAGTTCTCATGGGATTTAAGGGTGCACAAGAGCAGATTTTCAGAGATTCAGCTCCACCTGCCAATTCTCATTTCATTGAATTCTCCACATCCATTAATCATCCTATCATCCAACAACATACAGTCTCAATACTGAAAACACCATTAAATAACCAACAAACAAACATATATACACACACATACACACCACCAAATGTGCAATCTCCATGCTACACAACCTTACAATCTTCCTTTAAACAGTTTCTAGTATTCACCTGGTCAAAACTCTGTTGTGACAGTATTATGTTCAACATGTTCACTATCTGAAGTATCTTAGACAAAGGCATCTTCAGGTGGTTGCTTGCCATTACTAACAGAATGGTTTATTGCTTTCCGATTTCATTGAGACCAGTGGTGAGACACACAATGTAGGATTTCTCTTGCATCACCTATCCCGTCCGAATGCCAACTTCATCCACAAGAAATGCATCCTGCTCTCAGAGATGTGGCTCTGGCAACTGCGTCACAGTAGCACAACTAACAGCAGCATAGGACGAAATGCCTGTCTGGGGCTTTAAAGATACCAGTCGTAACACCAGATTTCTCACTGACATGCTCACAACTTGTCACAGAGATTCTTTTATTTAAAAAGCCTCAAAGAGACTTGAATACATCCAAGTGTGATAAAGGATTTGAACAAGTCTCAAAAATATAATTTCAGCTCCTTCAGTGTGTGACATGACCACTGAAATTGTGTTCAGTCACGAAGACTTACAAAAGCTCTGAGGGCAGAAAAGAACAAGACTAGTTGTATACTTCTTAGTCAAACTAGATTGTAACTAGATTCTAAAGGGTTGTGACAATGATGTATAATGCTCAGAATTACTGGGTTCTTGGACTTTCTCCAGTTTCTGGCATTCTATAAATTAGAAAACACATTTCAGAAACCGGATATGTTTCCATCCTCAGGTGAGGAGGGAAAACACATACTCAGGTGGGTCCCTTAGAAAGAGCTAACCTCACTCACTGGACCTAGGTGACTGAGGTTAGCTCTTTCTAAGGGATCCAACTGAGTAGGTGTCTCCCCCCTTCACCTGATGACGGAAACAGATTCAGTTTCCGAAACATTGTGTTTTCTTGTGTGTAGAATACCAAACGATGGACTAAGTCCAAAAACCCAGTAATTCTGAGTAGATTGCAACTGTTGTTCTTTAGAATATGATTTGCAAGTACCTCCTTCTTGTCCCTGTTACGGTCAATATCTTTCTTCACCATCACAAGTGCGTCTAGTGATTCAGATCGATCAGGATCGTATACCAGCACATACCCATCAGTCAACCCAAGATACTGACGGGCCAACTGATTCTGCTCTCTTCCACCGTCCAGGCCTGCCGTGTCATAAAAACGCATCTTTTCTCTTGTCCCTCTATCCGTTTCAACGCTTGCAACATAAATATCTTCTATTGTTGAGTGTAACTCCTGTAACAATGCAATTAATATTCAGGCAAGAGAAACAATTTCACAGGTCTTCCTTTGGTAATATTTCCTTCTTCAATAGCAAACTCTCACAGCTTTAGCCTCTCTGGTTCTTCCTGTACAATAGCTCTTGCACATTAACCCTTTAAATCACATGGTAACTATATATACTACCTGCTTTAACATTATAAATGTCTGAATTCTGCCCACATACTATTTTTAAGTGTTTCTTATGATTCCCACAATAAATAGTGCTTATTTTCCTAAACAGCATCAATCAACTGGTTTTTGTAGTGGAGATACAGTGTTTTCTGTGAAGTAGGAACTGAAGTTTTCATTATTTCATTATTTTCAAACTTCAAATGGTTAACATACAACACAATTTCAACAAGTGTAACAGAAATTTTCTAAAATATTTCAAGAATTGCATTAAAAAAAATGAATCCATAAACACAACATGTACAAGACTGGAAAGGCTGTACTCCATAATGTGGCACACGAGATTACCAATGATATTCTTCGAAGCTCATTAAACTTACTTAAAAAACAGGAACACTGATAGTCCCCAGCTCCCCACTATGGTCGCCAGGGTTCAACCCCAGGTCAGATTATGTGAGATTTGTGGCAGATAAACGAGGAAATTGGGCAGGTTTTCTCTGAGTACATTGGTTTCCTCTACTCCACCAAATGCTACACATTCATTAATCATCCTCCCATCTAACACCGCAGTCTTGATACTGACAGCATCACTAAATAATTAACTAAAAAAAGGAATAATGAAATTGAAAATACTGGAAGTGCCCAATATTAGATTTTGACTAAATCTTTGGAAGGGTTCATGTGATACACCAAGAATTCCATTTGTGGCCTTGTGTAAAGGGTTCTACTGTGAAGCAACATGGATGAAAATTAACTGTGCAGCAACCTTTTGTGAAAGTCTCTCACTTTGAATTTCCACAAAATCTGCAAAACGATTTATGAGATACATAGAAAACCCAGTTTATGATCTCACGTGAACTGGTCTTCTTTGTGTGTCTATATGGCTGAAAAATCAGACCTGCTTGACAATTTTTGATGAAAGTCTCTCATGCAAAATTTCAACAGAATGTCTTAAATGATTTATGGGATACAGGGAATAGCCCATTAATGCCTTATGTAAACTATGCTTCATTATGGTTCCATATAAGTGAAAACCAGAACTTCCCTGCAAACATTGGTTGAAGTCTTTCATACTAAATTTAAAAAAAAAACCTGTGAATGGTTTATGGCATACTGGAGAATACTTTTATGGCTTTATTATGGAATTACGATGGCTGCAAACAGGATTCCCCAACAATGTTTAGTGAAAGTCTTTCATACTTAATTTTAAGAAATTTTGTCCAGTGGTTTATGTACTGATACTATGTCATAGACAGACAAAACTGAGACAGATTCTTTCAACAAAAAACAGGGTGAAATACAAGCAATGGACATCAAATTTCAGAGAAGAAAAACAAAATGAGATGGAATTAGAAACAATTTTTTTTTTACAGAAGTCTGAATTCAAAATTTGTTAATAAAGTTAGAAAACGAATACTTACAAAGTTTGATCATGAAAAAGGATGGTTAGAATAGTGATACTAGGAAGGGCATTACAATTAAAATTCATAGAAAAGCAGCAAATGTGAAGATCCAGATCACAACAGCTGAGCCAAATAGTGAAAGACATCAGGAGAAGACTAAAGAGCTGGCAAGAAACTGAAAAGGAAAGGCTGTGGGCAGATAAAAAAGATTGAAGACATTCTGTCCATCTATCTGTATGAAACACAAGCAATGCTAGAAGCAGAAAATGCTACGAAATATGAATAAACAGAATTAATCCATACCGTAGTCTTGGTAACATTTCCATATATAAGTTGCTCCAATATTGCTGTCTTCCCCACACCTTTTAGTCCACATACAACAACACGCGTTGTTTTCCCCATATTCTGCTGCAGTAATGGCTTCTTAGGAGAGAACCCTAAAATGAGAAACAGAATACAGATAAGCCTCAGATAATTTATATGAGGGTTATTCAATTAAAACCCATTAATGACAATGTTAGCAAATATGGGTAGCTTCTGGCGATCAAGTTGCTGCAGTCAACCACAAGCTGCACAACAGAACAGGAACAATGTGACATTTCAGGTGCACAATACCCTCCTAACAGAAACACTGATGCAAGCATAATCAACGACTCCATCACCATCAACACCATCCTCCAAGAACTTTGTAGTGTCATCTTAGTATGCTTATGAGCGTCATCATCATACCACAGGACAATACCCATCCCATGTGGCTTGAAGTGTCCAGGACATGCTGGTCAGTGTTTGACCATCCCACACTCAGTCCGGACTTGTCACTGTGCCTTTCCCATGTGTTCTGCACCTTCAAGGATCCCCTAAAGGGCCAGAGATTTACATTAGGCAAAGATGTCATGGCTGCAGTGGTTCCAGTTCTTTGTGAATGGGATCCATCAGATGATGCATCAGTCAAATGCCTGCCTTAAGGTCATGAGGATTGCTTTTAATGGCCTCTTCTCCTTCACCCAGAACACTATCCAAACAAGTTTCATTTGAACATGTCTCACATGAGATAAAACAATTACAATTACATGTTGTATTCACAGAACATACTGTGGGAGTAAGAACAGCTCAGTTGGTATAGCAATAGGCTATGGGTGGATCGTCCAGGTTCAATTCCCAGCAGTGAAAAATTCTTCTCTTAGCCACAGCATCCAGATTGACCCTGAGGCCCACCTGGCCTCTTACTCGATGGGTCCTGGGGCCTCTTTCTCTGGGGGGGGGGGATAAAGCAGAAGAGGCATGAAGGTGACCACTCAACTTCAACCAGTGCCGAGGTCATGAAAGGCAGAACTATACCTCCACTCCCCTATATGTCTTCATGGAGTAGTGCTTAACTAATCAAGCACAGAGACAACATTACCTTTCAGAAAATACTGTAAAAAGTGCTTACAGGGCATTCTTTCAACATTACAAAGAAACAGGGCTCAGACTACATTGCTGGAAAATCAATTCTGTTTTGAAGTTTCAATTATAAAAGAACATAAAAGAGAGCTGGGGTAACTCATACATTAAGGTGACTAACTTACAGGATGGACAACCCGGGAATCAAGATTCAATTACAGCAGAGGCAAGGTCTTTGTCCTTCACAATTGTGTCCATGCTGGCCCTGAGGCCCATCAAGTCTGCTATCCAGTGGTTACCCACAGCTCCTTCCTGTGTGTAAATTGGAGGGGACATGGAGATGACTATTTGCCTCAATCTACTGTTCAGCCTAAGACTGGATGCAGCTCTACCTCCACTCCTCCATGTGTTCCTGGCATGGTGCTTACTTAAGCACAGGGACATATTTATCCTTTTTACTTTTATATCATGGTGCATTCAGAATGAAAGTTGAAAACATGTGCTTATTAGCTTCACCATGTCACTGGGAAATTTTACTAAAAGCCTTCACATATTTTTCAATGCATTTCAAGTGAAACTCAATGAATATTCATCAGAATGAGAACTGTTTCAAACAAAAGTTATAAAGACAAACATAATACACATTTTATGCCATTGTATTTGGAGCCCAGATAACTCAGTCGATACAACAATGAACTATGGGCCGGACAGTCAAGTTTCAAGTCCTGGCAGAGGTGAGAGATTTCTCTTTACTCCACAGCATCCAGACCAGTTCTGGGGCCCACACAGCCTCCTGTCCAACAGGTATTGGGACTCCTCCCCTGGAGGTAAAGTGGCATGGAGGTGACCACTCACCTCCACCTAGTGCCAAGCTCAAGAATGGTGGGATTCTACCTCCACTTCCCCATACATTTTAATGGTGTGGTGTTCAATTAATCAAGTACAGGGCGAACTTCAAATTTACCTTCAATGATTAAAGAAAAAAGATTTCTGTGTTTTGCCATCTCATAATTTGAAAACTGTCAGATTGATTTGATAAACTTTTACGTTGGAAATCCTTTCTCATCTGCCCCATGCTATGTAAGACTAAAAAGTTATCATCTATGAATTGAAAATTTAAGAGAGAAGAGGTATGCAAATGGCTATGCTATGTGCATATTTTTTAACTTGTTTTTCCTTCTATTTCACATATGAGAAGATGCATGCTGCTGCAACTGTATTCAAAGATCAGTAATTCAGACATATTATTCCTCTTGCAATTCATTCTATGATATCTATTAATTATTGTTATGGAAGTGCCAGAAGGAGAAAACACTAGGACATCTCTCTCCAAAACATAAGCGGAATCCAGTTATTTTATATATACAGCATAACTTCCCTCTTCTCTCCAATGATGCTACAAAGAAACAACTGCAGCAGAACATCAAACATTCGACACCAGTTATACCAAATGTCTCCACAGGAAATGAGCCTTATCTAGTTCCATCCTCTGTGATTTTAGTCTGCAAGCAAAGAATACCGACCGAGCGACCGCCGCATGTCGGCGAAGTTAGTGCCAACTTTAGTGCATAGAAGGTGTCGCGTGGTCAGCGCAACGAATCCCCACAGCCGTTAATTTCGGTTTTCTATTTCTTAACATTCCTCCACCTCTTTCCTGGCCTTGCAAGTTATTAAACTAAAACAGTTTCATAAATTCTGTGCATTTGCAACCCAAATCTGAATTACATATGCCCAGTCATCCACAACCATCCTGATTTTGTTACTATGCCACAATCAGATGCCTTGTATAAATCACCAAGTTCTCTGCTGTGTAATGTCCTCCATTCTTACTTCCTTCATCATTAGGCTTAAATATTTTCCTAAAATCTTTTCATATTCATATACTCATAATTTACATTCTTCCTTTATAGTAAAAGATTATATCTCAAGACCATACCTGATACATAGTAAAGCAATAGTTTTACATACACGAATCTTTGGTGATTATTGCTGTTCCCCATTATTTTGTTGGGTTTTTGGACTTTGTCCATCATCCAGTATTGTAAAGAATACAATGTTTCAGAAACTGAATCTCTTTTCCATCCTTAGGTGAGGGAGGAGACATCTACTCTATTGGGTCCATTAGAAACTGCTAACCTCAATCACTGGACAACCCATGTCAGTATTTATAAATGTCAGCTATATAAATATCCGAGATCAGCATGTGTCAATGGGAGATAACTGGAAAATATCTAAAAAAAAAATTGATAATGTACAAACCTAAAATTAAGACAGAAATGAAAAGTGAAAATTACATGTAACAAGATGCACCAACAAACATAATTAATTGTGGGGGGGAACCCCAGGACTATCATCATACATATAACCGTGAGAAATCTGTATAATCATGCAGACCTTCCCTGCAAACTGCTAACTTCATTGCTGACAAAGGAGATCCAAATGGAAGAAATATCTAAACTGGGTTTACTAATCAAACTGGTTAAACATTTCATATGGGTTGATTCCTTGTATTTCCTATACCTGCTGTTTCTTTCAATTCCCCAAATCCTAGAATCATCCCAACCATCCAGCCTACTCTATGACCCTCTTCATAGGCATGTTGGGCTAATTTTGATTTTTCTAGAAGACCCTGTTGGAGACTGTGCCCATGTTCACAGAGCCACACAGCTAGAGGTCTGCCTGTTTCGCCACTGTAGCTTCTGCCACTCACAGGGAATACTGTAGCTACTCTGTGCCGTCTGTTGTGGATCTCTTTCCAGCCTTGTTCTCATGAGTGAACTCTAAGTGTCTCTTTAGTGTCTTTGAATATAGTCCTAATGTTATAACAATTCCCCATATGTTTGAACTTTTATGAACTACCCTTCCCATATGGGATTCACACATAACCAAGAGGCTTTTCCTCTTTACTTTGATGACTACAACCCTTGGAATTAACAACCGAGTCAATGAAGACTTGGAGACAACCACTGAGCTGAAGATGATATGTCTGAAGCTCTGATGTAAAGACTTTGAATTATAGCTCTCTTGACTTGTGACATGTAGCCAGACAGAATATATTGTATTTTAATGACACTTTAAGAACATTTTAATTTATGTTTTAGTGAGCTGAATGTAATTTTGTTGTCATTTAAAATAGAGTGTGTTGCCTTATAGACAGAAAACACATGTGACGCGATCGATGATTAGATTTGAGGTTGAGATATCAGCCAGTGTGGGTGCGTTTGCTATAAACTTCAGTGGCCACTGCCGTCCCATTTCTAATAACCAGAGCATCCAGAAGAGGCAGTGCACTGTCTGCTTCTATTTCCAAGTGAACTGGATGGAAGATCTTAAGACTACTGGGGTAGCTGAAGAATTCTATACTCTCCCTGGACCCTAAGTCCAGACCACAAACGTTTCATCTACACACCACAGATAAAGCAATGATTTGTATTGTGCCAAGACAAGAGCCAGTTTCTCAAAATTCTCCTTGAAGATGTTGCTAAGAATGGGGGACAGATTTCCACAGAATGTCATCTTTTTATTGTAAGAACTTATCGTTCACCTTAAATTATGTGGTTCTCAAACAAACTTCCAGTAGCTCCATGAGAGCCTTGACCTGCAATGTAGGCTGTTCCACGAATGTGTTATCATTATGCAGCTTATTTCTGATGATTTGCAGGGCTATGTCCACTGGTACATTAGTGAAAAGCTAACAAAGGTTTCTAAACTTTAAAGAATTATGCTTTCAACAATAGCATGAAGTGTACTTAATTCTTAATTCTGATTTTCCAGTAATACAAAGTGGTTCAAATATGACTGGGACTGATTTGTGGGTAGACAAGCCGCATTGTGCAGCTGCTGTGCGACCTTGAGAGAGTGAAGCCACAACCTCCACCCTCCCTCCTGTTTGGGTTAGAACCTGTTCAGTCATGTCTGGGAGTTGCTAGGGTGATGAGCAAACAGAAGGTACCGGGGAGCATGGAACAATACACTGTGATCAAATTCCTCGTTGGAGAAAGTGTCCTGTCCATTGAAATTCACCACAGACTCCAACAACAGCATGGAGAAGAGTGTCTCTCTCATGGATCCGTGTGTTTGAGTCGTGTAAGTGCTTCAGAGAGGGCAGAGAGGGCGTGGAGAATGAACCGCATGACTGTCGGCTGCGAACATCACCAAGCCAAACACTGATCGTGCAGACGCGCTTATTCGTGAGAATAGGCACATCACTGTCAAGGAACTTGGAGCAATGCTGTCGATCAGTGTTGGTAATGTAGAAGACATCGTGAAATACCACCTGCACTATCGCAGGGTGAATGCACGGTGGATACCACACACTTTGATGGACGTGAACAAAATGGTGCGCATGCAAGCTGCCAGTCATCTCCTACAGCAGTTTGTAGATGAAGGTGATGAATTTTTGAAGTTTATAGTGACCACCGATGAAATGTGGGTGCACTACTTCGTTCCAGAGTCCCAGCAGTCATCACGCGAGTGGTGGCATACCAGTTCTCCCAAACCCAAGAGAGTGCGGAGGAGCCGTTTGGCAGGAAAAGTGATGGCAACGTTCTTCTGGAACTGGCAGGGGGTTATCCATGTAGATCTTCTGATAGATGCCAGAACAGTCAATGCAGCTTATTATTCAGACCTCCTGGCAATAGACATGAAGGAAAAGTTCCGATCCAAGCAGAAGACAGGTGGAAAGTGGGTAGCCTTCCTTCAAGACAATGCATGCCACCATATGGCCAAAACAACAACGGAAACCCTCCAGAAATTGAAATGGAACATTCTGACACATCCGCCATACAGTCCCGATTTGGCCCCAAGTGATTTCTACCTGTTCAGAAGGATCAAATCAGACTTGCAAGGCATGTGGTTTGTGGACAACGCCGCTGTCATCCAGACCGTTTGGGAGTGGATACACCGCCAACCACAAGCCTATTTTGAAAAGGGCATCAGGATGCTTCCAGAACGTTGGAAAAAATGTGTTGACTCCTGAGGGCAGTACGTTGAAGACTGACATGGCAAGTAAGTGTTTGGCAATTATGGTTTAAAAAAAAAATCAGTCCTGGTCATATTTGAACCACCTTGTATTACATGTATAATTACATAGGTGTTGTTATAGTGACATAGGTTGTCCAGTGAATGAAGTTAACTCTTTCTAACCGGCTCAATAGAATAGGTGTTTCCCTCTCCACCTGAGGATGGAAACCCATCCAGTTTCCAAAATGTTGTGTTCTTTAGAATACCAGACGATGGACAAGGTCTGAAAACTCTGTAATCCCGAGTGTTATACACCAACGTCAGAACCCTTCAGGATCTGCCTGACATTTTGGTTTTAAAAATGTTTAAATAATACTACTACCTATGTTTCTCATGGTCTTAACTTCACATTTCATATTTTGTGACATGCCAATATATTCAAACTTTAATTAAGGAAGTGAGCTTTTTTACTACTAATACATAGAAACTTCAATGGCCACTAAAGTTCTTATGTGTTAACCTGTCACATTTCAGAATGCAGACTGCAATTACAACCCTCTCAAGATTTTGGCCATCAACTGTTAAATTCCATGTTAGGTGGGTCCCTTGTCACCACGGCATGGTGCGTCCTCAGGTTGTGGATGGAGGAAACGCCCTCCAGATCTGGAGGGAAGCTGTGAATATATGAATAAGCAGTCGTGCACAGCCGACAAGGGGTGGCCCTCCAGCTTGGGGATTGGGCGTGGGGCTTACAACTCCTCACTGTAAAAAATTACTTTGTTACAAAAATGAACACAAAGCCTTGGACCTGGACCTGGACAGATTCCTTGGATAAACGACCTAAACTAAAGAAAATGGATATGAGATTTGGCACTTAGAATGTTCGGAGTTTGTATAGGGCAGGTTCGCTCAGGGCAGTGGCAGAAGAAATCTTAAAATATGTTAGATTTGGCAGGAGTACAGGAGGACAGATGGGATGGAAGTGGCATTGCACCAGCAGGAGACTATACATTTTTCTATGGAAAGGGGAATGAAAATCATGAATTAGGTACAGGTTTCTTTTGTACATAAGAGAATCATATCAGCAGTTAAAGAGGGTAGAGTTCATTAGTGATAGGATATTATACATAATACTAAAAGGTCGCTGGTGTGATATCATTGTTATGAATGTTCATGCCCCAACAGAAGACAAAATTGATGACTAAAGGACAGATTCTATGAAGAACTAGAACATGTATTTGATAAATTCCTGAAGTACTCTATGAAAATTTTGTTAGGAGATTTCTATGCTAAAGTAGAGAGGGAAGACATTTTCAAACCAACGATTGGGAATGAAAGTTTGCATGAAATCAGTAATGATAATGGAGTTAAGAGTAGTAAACTTTGCCACATCAAAAAAGCTTACTCTCCCACATCCATAAATTTACTTGGACATCTCCTGATGGGAAGATACATAATCAAATAGACCATATTTTGATAGACAGGAGACGGCACTCAAGTATACTTGATGTCGGATCATTCAGGGCAGCAGATTGTGATACTGACCATTAAGTGGTGGTGGCAAAGGTTAGGGAGAGACTGGCAGTAAGCAAACGAACAACACACAGAGTTCAAATGGAGAGGTTGAATCTCAAGAAATTAAATGAGGTAGAGGGTAAAGAGCAATATTGTGTTGATATCTCAAATAGGTTTGCGGCTTTGGAAAACTTGGAAACTGAGGTGGATGTTAATAAAGTTTTGGAAACTATTAGAGAGAACAGAAAAAATGTCTGACAGAGAGAGTCTAGGTTATTATGAACCGAAGCATAAGTCATGGTTCGATGGAGGATGCTCAAAATTATTAGATCAAAGAAAACAGGCCAAACTGCAATTGTGACAGGATCCATGCGAGTTAAATGGGGATAATCTGAATATAAGATGTGAAACCAGCAGGCATTTCAGGAACAAAAAGAGGGAATCTGAAAGACAAAATTGATGAGCTTGCAATGAACAGTAAGAACGAGAACATTAGCGACCTGTACAGAGAAATAATGACTTTAAGAGGGGTTAGCAGCCTAGCAGTAACTTAGTGAAGGATGAGAATGGTGATCTGCTTGCAGATTCCCACAACATTTTGAATAGGTGGAGGAACTACTTCTCTCAGTTCTTGAATGCACATAGGGTCAGTGATGTTAGGCAGACAGAAATCCATATAGCTGAGCCGTTAGTACCTGATCCTAGACCTTCTGAGGTTGAAGGTGCTATTGCAAAATTGAAATGGTATAAATCACCAAGTAGTGATCAAATTCCAGCAGAACTTATTCAAGCAGGTGGTGAAAAGTTACATTCTAAGATTCACAGTCTAATTACTTCTATTTGGCATAAGGAAAAATTGCCTGATCAGTGGAAGGAGTCTATTATTGTACCAGTTCACAAGAAGGGTGACAAAACTGACTGTAGTAATTACCGACGGATATCACTGCTATCAACTTCATACAAACCTGATTCAGGAGGAAATTAAGAGGAGATTGAACTCAGGTAATGCTTGCTATCATTCAGTCCAGAAACTTTTGTCTTCTCGTCTGCTGTCCAAAAACATAAAAATTGGAATATACAAAACTATAATTTTGCCTGTTGTTCTGTATGGGTGTGAAACTTGGTCTCTAACATTAAGGGAGGAACATAGACTGAGGGTGTTTGAGAACAGGGTGTTGAGGAGAATATTTGGACCGAAGAGAGATGAAGTGACAGGAGGTTGGAGAAAACTGCATAATGAGGAGCTTCATAGCTTGTACTCTTCTCCAAGTATAATTAGAATGATCAAGTCAAGGAGGATGAGGTGAGCAGGTCATGTAGAACGAATGGGGGAGACCAGGAATGCCTATAGGATATTGGTGGGAAAACCAGAAGGAAAGAGACCACAGGGAAGACCAAGGTGTAGGTGGGTGGACAATATTAAAATGGATCTTAGAGAGATAGGATGGGATGGTATTGATTGGACTGATCTGGCTCATGATAGGGACCAGTGGAGGGCTCTTGTGAACACGGTAATGAACCTTGAGGTTCCATAAAATGCTGGGAAATTCTTGAGTAGCTGCAGAATTAGCACCTCCTCCAGAAGGGCTCAGCTCCATGAGTAAGTACAATACTGTTAAATTAACCTCCACCCGCCCCCCCCCAAAAAGAGGATCACGAAATAAGAAATCGAGTACACAATGTACATATTGGTAAAACAATTAACTGGTATTTCATCACTAATTTCGCAAACATGAAACGAACCTAACCTATCAGCGTACAAAACGACATCACTTCCAAATGTCAAACATTGTTATAACGATAATTTTATTTACATGTCATGTACACTGGTTAATTACGATAAGAAATAAGTCTCGTAATCCAAGCATCTGTAGCTAAAATAACACATCAAATACCACATGTAATAATTCGTCAAAACGGAATCTACCTTGGGTACACTTCCGAACCTTGCAAATCCCGAAATCCCGAATTTCCAACCGTAAACAACACTGATTCCTGACGTTACTGACGTCATTGCCACAGCACCATGGATTACTAAGTGCTATCGACCGTCATCGACCAAAGAAGTCTTCGACTGCATGCTACACAGTAACATTGATAAATACGGTGGCTCTGTAAGTCGCACGAATTACTAAATCTAAAAGGCAAAGCCCTATATTGGGTGGGTCCTTTGCAATGTGTTTTCAACCACGGCATGGCGCGTCTTCAGGTTACGGATGGGGTAGACCGCTTCTAGATATGAAGGATACCTACGAATATACTTGAATAAACAGTCGCGGACAGCAGACAAGGGGTGGTCCTCCAGCTTGGAGATTGGGCGTAGGGCTAACAATTCCTCGCCGTAAAAAAATAATCTTGTTACGATGCGTCACAAAGGCCCTCATAACATGACGAATTCTTTGGCCAAACGACCTAAGCTAAAGAAAATGGACATGAGATTTGGTAAACGGAATATAAGAAGTCTATAAATCTGTACATGGAAGATTCTCTCATGACAGTTTCAAAAGAAATATCAAACTATAAGTAAAATTTAGTAGGAGCACAGGAGGTCAGACAGGAGAGTGGTGCTACTGAGCCAGGAAGCGAATATACATTTTCCTATGTAAAGGGGAATGAGAATTGTGAATTTGGTACAGGTTCTATCGTACATAAGGAAATCATATCAGCTGTTAAGAGGACAGAGTTTGTCAGTGATAGGATATCATACATAATGCAAGCGAATCGGGTGAGATATTGTTCTGAATGTTCATGCCCCAACAGAGAATAAAATAGACGATGTGAAGGGCAGGTTCTACGAAAGAACTAGAACGCGTATTCGATAAATTCTCTACATACAGTATAAAATTTTGTTAGGAGATATTTATGCCAACATTTGAGAATGAGTGTTTTCACAAATTTAGTGATAATAATGGAGTAAATTTTGCCACATCCAAAAATCTTACTGTCAAAAGTACAATATTCCTATGACATAAAATTCACAAATTTAATTGGATTTTTGTTAGATAGGAGACAGCATTAAAGTGTACTTGATGTCCAGTCACTCAGGGCAGCAAATTGTGATACTGACCACCTTCTAGTGGTGGAAAAGGTTAGGCAGATACTGGCAGAGAGTAAACAAATAACGCACAAAGTTCATGCGGAGAGGTTCAATCTCAAGAAATTAAATTCATTTAGACCATTCTGGATAGGAAAATTATCAGACAAATATTTACCTTTATGGACTTTACCATATGTTTCCCTTAAACACATTTTAATCAGGCTAACATGTTTCGTGGGTATCCCGAACTCTATCAGAATATTGTACAATACTTCCCTCCTAACTGAATCAGTGGCTTAGTAGAAGTCTATGAATAGCTGATGTACTGTTTCATTGTACTCCCATTTTTTCCTCCAGCCTATTCAATATGTAGGAATCTGCAAGCAGATCACCATTCTCTTCCTTCACTAAGTTACTTCCAGGTTGGCGGACACTCTTGAAGTTGTGGGATGTCGATGTTGTTGTCCTATCCAGAGATGTGTCGGATGACGGTTGTGAACTGGGAGACGAAGTCTAGATGGTTGAACTGCCGGGGTGAGCATTTATCCCTCTTCTGCAGGAAGGCGTATGTGATTGGCTTGTGGTCGGTAAAGATGGTGAAGTAACGCGCTTCCAGCATATGGCGGAAATGTTTTACTGCCTCGTATATAGCCAGTAGCTCGCGGTCGTAGGCTCTGAACTTCTGTTGGGCAGGGTTGAGTTTCTTTGAGAAGAAGGCCAGGGGCTGCCAGGTGTTCCTTACGCGTTGTTGTAGCACGGAACCCATGGCGGACGTGGAGGCATCTGTGACGAGTGCAGGTGGCGCGGATTGATGCGGGTGGGCCAGTAGAGTGGCGCGTGACAAATTCGCCTTGCACTCTTCGAATGCCTTGCGGAGCTCCGGTGTCCAAGTGATAGGGTGGGAGCCCTTGACTTGGGACCGGAAAGGACGTCGTGCAGTGGTGCCTGCGTAGTCGCTGCGTGGGGCAGAAACCGCCTGTAGAAGTTCAGCATGCCTAGGAATCTTCGGAGCTGACTGGCGGTCTTCAGAGAGGGGGCAGTCCTGGAGATGGGCCACTCGGTCTTCCAGAGGTTCGGAACCCTCGGCGGACACCTTGTACCAGAAAAAAGTGACCGCGGGTGCTCTGAAGACGCACTTTGACGGGTTGATAATGATCCCGTACCTCTGGAGTTGGTTCAAGAGAGCACGTAGGTGTTGTTCGTGCTCTTCAAGTGACCGGGAGAAGACAAGGCTGTCGTGTAAGTACGCGAAGCAGAAGTCGAGTACCCGTACAATGTCGTCCATGAAGGGCTGGAAGGTCTGGGCGGCGTTGCGCTGGCCGAAGGACATGAAAGGGAATTCGAAAAGGCCGAATGGAGTGGTGATGGCGGTCTTCTGTAAGTCTTCAGGGTGGACAGGGATTTGGTTGTAGGCTCTCACCAGGTCAATTTTGGAAAAGACGGAAGAGTCGAAAAACTTGCGGGAGTAGTCGTGGATATGGCGGACAGGGTAGCAATCAGGGATGGTTCGGGAGTTAAGCGCTCTGTAATCGCCGCATGGACGCCAATCGTTGTATTTCTTGGGCACGATGTGCAGTGCCGAGGACCAGAAACTCTCTGAGCGGCGAGCTGTACCATCCCGCAACATGGCGTCGAACCCGGCTTTTGCGATAGCCAGCCGGTCCCGTGCCAGTCGCCGTGGTCGGCAGGTTGCTGGTGGGCCAGGTACAGTCCTGATGTGGTGGACGGTATTGTGTCGTATCTCGCGCTGGACTCCGGCTGGGCGGGTCAGGTCAGAGAACTCTGTGAGGAGGTTGTCGACCGGTGTGTCGTTGCTGATGGTCTTTACACTGGGGATCAGTGCGTCGGCCTCTGAGGCCGGGGCTGACAGCGTTGTGACCCCGTCCAGAATGCGGTTGCTCAGACAGTCCACAGGAGACCGAAATGCGATAGGAAGTCCACGCCGATTATAGGATGCGTGACGTAGGCCACCACGAACGGCCACGTGAAGTCTCGGCATAGGCCCAAGTTGAGGCTGAGAGGTAGCCATCCGTATGTGTGGATGGTAGTGCCATTAGCTGCACACAGGTCATAGTTGGTACGTTCCTTGCGTCGAGGAACGAGCCTGCGGGGGTATACACAGAGGTCTGAACCCGTGTCGACCAGGAACTGCCGTTTACTGACTTTGTTCGTTATGAAGAGGCGGCCTGTTGTCGTAGCGCAGACATGTGCCGCCGGTGATGTCTGCTGCGTCAGTTTCCCTGCTGGCGGCAGGAGCAGGGCGAAGTACAATTTTGCGCCCGAGCGCCGAAGCGGCGATGGTACCAGCAGGTAGGATGTGGTGTCGCCACGGGAGGGGGATCTGCTGCCCGGCTGGGGGCTGTTGAAGGCGGGGCGGGAATCCTTGGAACTGGGACATCGGTCTCTCCGGTTGGGGTCGAGCTCATTGAAGCGGGCGTGGAGGCGGTCCTGTCCGGCGCTAAGTGCAGCCACTTGGCGGGAGAGGTCAGCGACCTCCTGCCGAAGTGCGGTATTGTCCGTAGGTTGACTAACGCTAGTGAGCGCCAGCTGGATTTCGACCTGGGAGACGCGGTCCGCACAGAGGGCTGCGACCTCCAAGTTGCTCTCGTTCTGGCCGGCGAGGAAGCTCTGTACGTTGCGGGGTAGCCGGCTGGCCCAGACGCTTCGGATGACGTTATCAGACACGTCTGGTTCGAGACCCTTGAAGTATCTCAGGAACTGGAACGGCTTACGGTCGCCAATTTTCTCGACCGTGAGGAGCTGCCGGATGCGTTGCTCTGTTGACTGGGATAGCCGCCTCACAAGCTCGGTCCTCAGAGTGGTGTAGGGGTCTCGTTCAGGCGGAGAGGTGATGATATCCTCCGCCTCTGTGGCGTACCGGTATATAAATAAGATACAATTTGCTGTAAAATCTTAAGTCTTTACAACTACAGCTATATTGTACTATGTATATATTTTAGCTTTTAGAACATGTGCTGTAATAGTGGCTTCTAACTGTGTTGATGTAAATAGGTCCCTCTGAAGATGGACTCTGAAGACCGAAACATGTAATGGCATGAATAATTGAAATAAGAAAATCTTAACCAGTCACACTGAATGGAACTATTTAACTCTTTTATAACATTAGTGTGACAGACAAGAAAGAAACAGATCAAATATATGGACGTTACGATATGGGAACATAGTACTTTTGACTAAGATTTTCAATGTGGCAATGTTTACTACTCTAATTCCATTATCATTTCTAATTTCGTGCAAACTCTCATTCCCAATCATTGGTTTGAAAATGTTTTCCCTACCTACTTTGACACTGAAATCCTAACAAAATTTTCATATGGCTTTTCAGGAATTAATCAAATACATGTTCTAGTTCTTCATAGATCCTGTCAATATAATCAATTTTATCTTCAGTTGAGGTGTGAACATTCAGAATGATGATATCACACCAGCGACCTTTTAGTATTATATATGATATGCTATCACTAACGAATTCTACCCTCTTAACTGCTGATACCATTCTCTTATGTACGAAAAGACCTGTACCTAATTCATGATTTGCATTCCCCTTTCCATAGAAAAATGTATATTCACCTGCTGGTTTGGTGTCACCTCTGTCCCATCTGACCTCCTGTACTCCCGCTAAACCTATCTTATATTCTGAGATTTCTTCTGCCACTGCCCTGAGCGAACCTGCCCTATACATATAAGTACTTTTAACATTCCAAGTTCCAAATCTCATATCCATTTTTTTTTTGCCTAGGTCGTTTATCCTTAGAATCTGTCCAGGTCTGAGACTTCTTGAGCATTTTCATAGCAAGCTTATTTTTTATGGTGAGGAGTTGTTAGCCCCACGCCAAACCCCCAAGCTGGAGGATGACCCCTAGTTGTCTGTCTGCAAATGCTTATCAATATATTCACAGCTTCCCTCCATATCTGGAGGGTGTTTCCTCCATCCATAACCTGAGTACGCGCCATGCCGTGATCAAAAGGGACCCACCTAACATGGGCTAATCCAAGCAGGAGGTGAAATATTGTGTTCTAAGATCCATGAGCTAATTAACTCTATTTGGAATAAAGAAGAATTGCCTGATCAGTGGAAGGAATCTATTATTGTACCAATTCACAAGAAGGTCAGTAAAACTGACTGTATTAGCTGTTGTGGGATATCATTGCTATCAACGTCATGCAAATCTTAATCCAATATTCTTCTCTCAAGGTTAAGTCCATATGTAGATGAAATTATTTTGGATTATTATTGAGGTTTCAACGTCACAGATCATATAGTCATCAGATATTTTGCATTCATCAGATACTGGGGAGAAAATGGGAGTACAATGAGACAGTACATAAGCTATTCATAGACTCCAAGAAAACCCAAAGTTCAGTATAATTAGAATGATGAAGTCAAGGAGGATCAAATTGGCAGGACATGTAGCACGAATGGAGAAGAAGAGGAATGCATATATGATATTAGTGGGAAACCCAGAACGAAAGAGATTTAGACATATGTGGGTGGATAATGTCGAAATGAATCATAGAGAGATAGGATGGGGTGGTATGGATTGGATTTATCTGGTTCAAAACAGTAACTAGTGGAGGACTCTTGTGAACGCAATAATGAACCTTCAGGTTCCATAAATTATGGGGAAGTTCTGGAGTAGCTACACAATTGGCGACTTCTCAAGAAGGGATCTGCTCCATGAAGTTAGTTTTATATATGAATCATATTTATTACACACAATCAAATTACAGTCAAGGTCATTCCTTAGTAAAAATAAATACAAATGAACCTCAGAATGGGAATGTTTAAATGAGAAGTAATTTTCTGAGGATTACTTTAAAATGTATGGCGATTTTATTAATGCATTTTTAGGCAATACCATCTTTACTGGTCCAGAGCAGCCTATGAGTACAGCTTCACTAATTTGAGGAACTCTCTGGAGACAAACTGTCTGTAACTGATTTTACCTATACCATTAGTGAAACAAATTTATGCCGAAGTAGTAATGACATCAAAGAATAAGTACTTCTACTGTCTTGATGGGCAAGTGAAAACATACATAAGTGTGTATGCATATTCTGTGGATTATAGTGACAAGAAAAGACTTTAACCTGTGGAGTTTGAATTCATATACAGTTACATTATCCTTTATGTGTTAATCAGAATGTGTTAATTTGTCAGAAACAATATATTATTTCTCTTTGTTTGAAATTAGTATGAAGCACTTATGGGTAGAGTTTATTCAGACACGTTTCATGATCTTGATGTAAATTAAAGAGGTTGTACAGATTTACATTGCTGTCATAACATGTATCTATATGCATCTAATAGGGCTAGCTTGTTGATTTCTGAATAGAGCCTTCAAACACTATTTTACTCAACTACTCTCTGTGGATGCTTCCCAGGCATAGATTCTGAAAATAAAAATACTTTAAAATATTGCCAAAAGGTCGCGAGTTCGATTCCGGATGAGGTCATTGGGTTTTTCAATTGACCTAATTCTTCCAGCCCCACTACGGCCCTGGGGTCGACTTGGTCTCAACAGAAATGAGTACCAGAAATCTTCCTGGGGGTAAAGGGTTGCTGGCATGTAACGATGACAACCTCACCGCCATCTGTGAGCCGATTGTCAAGAAAATGTGGGAGCCTCGATCTCTGACATCCCTACGTGCCTCCACAACCTGTTACAGGTATAGCTTCACTTACAGTAATTATCGGCATTCATTTGATGGCAAAAAATACGCTGAAAGAAAATCCATTTTCACCAACAAAGAAGACCTATTTTTACATTGAAAAATACAGTGATGAGAAACAGTGGCATTCTTCAGCTTTTGTGAGTCTGGTTAGGTTAGGTTTTAACTTCCCCTCCACCAGGAAGATATTAGTTGTGGGATGATTGTTGTACGCGTCTGTAGGCATCTCTCACAAATTTATCCGGATCAAATCGCTTACAGAATTAAATACATATATTTAGTGGTAGTGCAGGAGGTCAAATTGGACAGGAGTGGCACTGGAATATCAGGTGATTATACATTCTTCTGGACGAGATGTTACATAAGGGGTTCATATCGACAATTAGAAGAATAAAATTTGTTAGTGACAAGATAATTTACATAACACTTAAGAAGGAGATGTGATATTCAATGGTCATTTGAAGGAATAGTAGATATATTACGTTCAGGAGACGAATGTGCGATTGACGCATGCCACTTTCAGCTTTCATTCGCCTATTTACGGGACACATCGAATTTAGTACATTTTGCCTCCATTCAGTGGCGCCACAATCCATGGGTCGGAAGCTACAACAAATACATCTCATTATTGATCTCCAGTATAGTCACTTGAAAAAGAACTGTCTTGTACGAGCAGAATACTTTCTAGAATTCAGAAGAGAGTATGAATACGTTACGGTTTAGGGGAATCAACGCACCATTGTGACCAGGCATTTGTTTTGATTGTCGTTTACTTACTTCCACAGACAAGTACGGAGAGTCAGGGCCGATAGGGGGGATAACAAAATTTGGGCTGACTATACCTCTACTTCAGCGCAAGGCTCGAGTTTCTCTGGAGTGAAATGGAATGCCGCTGTGAATTTGATCGACTTTCCAAGACAAACGGCAACGAATCCGCAGCGTTTTTGACTGGTTACGAATTATTATTCTGAGATAAAAAGAATACGGATGTGTACGACGGATTTTATTATGGTTGCTCTTCATTGGTGAATAAAATACAAGCTGCACTGACTATACTATAATGTGTTGTACTTGAGAAAAATGCCTCACAAGATTGGATTTACTGTGGTGTATGCCTCAGGTAAGATTGATGTTAGTAATCTAAGTACTGTATAGGTCGTCCCTTAGTATTGTGGCATCTGAAACGCGTGACCAAGACCTTGTGCACCTTCCGTAACCCCTATATNTATTTAAATATTATTTAAATAAATTCCATGTTTCATCCAACTTATTGAATGTCTTCTTTGGTTTCCCTTGTCCCAGAGTATGGGCTGACGTAAGCAAATCCATGTTGCACCGAATGCTTCACGTGGTGGCTTCTCTATATTAAATCAAAATTTGAATCTGATGTAGCCTTCCCAAAATTAATATCGAAATTCAGATCGAACACAATAAATACTTCACTCAACTTCGTTTCTCTCATAATGTAGAAAAGCCATCTTCACAAACCTTCACTTTATTTCCAGTCTCCCTTCACCGGAATGACGAAAGCTGGAAAATATTTTCCCTTCTCCTGTAAAAATAGCGACTCAGTTCTTTCTTTATTCCACTTTCTCTTCTCTCTTGTTATTTCTTTAAGTTTCAGAGGATTAAACAAAAATAAAGTGTTTAAAATATCTACATGTGTGCGTCATTATCAGATAGTGACGTACACCGTTATGTCATCGCTCGGAAGTAACTATTTTATTTTGAAGACTTTATTCGCAAAAGAAATTTCTCTATTGAACGTGTTATTGAACATACCTCAAGGTTGGGCACTCAAGGCATGACGTAGCCTCAGAGATATTTACGGCACCATATGGAATATTTCCGATGGATATGAACAGATCCTAGTGATTCAGAAACGTTAAAATGCGTGCAGATAGAGTTGCAACTTACGTAGTCACATATTTCACAACTAATTTGTCCCAGAGTTTACAGGAATAACTTAAAAGTATCTATAGTGGGCAAGCTGTTGCTTATCCTTGAATTATCTTCCGAAAGTTTTGATAAAGAATTGCAAAATTGTAGATTTCATGAAAGCTGTTACAAATTTGTGATACATATATCAGGTTGGGGAGCTCTTTTACATTAAAAGTTTAAATACTTATATCTCAAATTGGTAACTTCCGTAGGAGTACCATACAATTAGGACATGACTGCTTCCGTTCCTTTTCCAAATCATTATTTACTGTCATCCTGAGGCCGAACTAAGTTTCGAACTTGAGATAGAAAGAAATCAACTAAAACTGCCAAATCCTATGGCACGAAGCAATGCCACGTGATATGGCATATAGTTACCAATGTGTTATAAAAGCTTAAGATCGTGGACCTAACACAATGACGTAAGCTTGAAATCTACACATCGATTTCCTTTTTGCCAGTGACAAATATAGCCTAACGTACACATATGAAATTTGGCCTAAGAGAAGTTAAGTGTTGAAACCGCCAGAAAGTCTCTTAACTATGACAAGTCTACTTATTATTCCCATGAGAATGAGAGATCTACCTGAGGCCTGGGTTCTTCCCGGGATCACATGTGTCATTAGTCTGCATTACATACCGTCCTCCGTTAGACTTTTGGCGATAATGGTGGTCATGGAGACAGGATCATAGGCTGCACTTGAGCCTGGTATCCTTTCCATGGCGCCACCATTGTCCTTAGTATCATCGGTTTGCTGTAAATACATATTATCTTCCGTCGTGCTTTTAGTTAAAAGGGTATTCGGGGGGACCACTCTTGGTAGCTAGATACCAAATGCGGGAGAGGCGCCCAGCATTAGAATCCAACCGTTACACTTTCTTAATTAAGACCACTCAGGGCTGTGACGCCGGGCTGCCTGGTTGTTATAAAAGCGTGGTTGGAGAGTTAAGGGTTTTTATTGTTGGTTAATGATCCGTGGAGTTGGATATAGTTGAGCAGTTAGTTACGAAAGATACTGAAATAATGACGGCAGTAATATAGTGAGGATACTTTCGAAGTTTAAAAGTGATATTGCAGCGTAAGGTATCTATGCGAAGAAGGTGAGAAGTTTATGAAGACACCTAGTTACGACGGAAATGTGATTTAAGACAGTGCAAGTCTCACGGAGGACTAGTGTAACTTTGCAGACATGAATATAGACATACTAAAATATACCGCAGTCGTTGCATTCAAGTAATGTAGTAAGTAAGTAAGTAAAGCTATCCCTGTAACAATATATAGCTATATGGAACAATAATATCGCGAAACTTCTGATCGACATATTTTTATATAGATATAAAAGTCATTAACCTTGAAGCTCACTTACTACCTATCTGACTTGTTGCTGACAGAGCTACACAAGAGTACAGACCGGTACAGACATTGCACCTCATCGAGACAACATATTGGAAACCCCTTTCTCTCTACACAATAAAATCCCAATGGTTCCCCCTGGGAATGTGAGCAATCAGACTATCGTGGCATGTAGTTTTACGTCTGCCTATAGATGGATCTGCTAACAATAGTGTCTCATTATTTAACAAAAAAGATGCTTATTTTGAACCATGAATTTTCAGTTTTTTAGTTGGGAAGTGCTGATTTAATTGTGAATGCGTGGAGAGGCGTCATTAGTAGACGACATAAGGCATTAACAGGTACATTGCACAGCTCTATACGAGCATAATTCTTTCATAGAATGGTTCCCTTTTCTGAAAAAGTAACCCTTAACGCACAATGGTTATCATATGTAGACTTGGTACTGTGTTTGTTTCTTTAATGTACTGTGGCGTATAGACCCGTTGCTAAGCAGTGACTCTGTAAAGAGCGGCCGTTGTTAGGTAAGGCCCGCAACATACGCGTACACAAAAACAGAATGATGGGATCATGCAACACGTTTCTAAGTAACAGTTCGGTAAACACGTTTCCGCGATAATGAACACCAACGCAAAAATAGAAGAACGGTGTTTTCTATGTGGTCCGCGTCGAGATGTAAGCAGGGCAGTTTGAAGAAACAAGTTAGTTGCGGGTTAGAGTGGTCAACAGTTCAGTCGAGTGAATCGACGTGAGAGAGAGTTCAGTTTTCAGTTATCAGCTGAAAGTCAGCCTGTGAAAAGAAGACTAGAAGGTTGGTGTGGGACCCACTCAGCTGAGGGTTGGCAGTTCAGTTCAGTTCTGTAAGGGAGGCTGTGAAGAAAAGAGTTAGTTGCAAGAGTGGGGCTGTGAAGAGAAGATATATATATATATGAGTGCTGCAGTTATAATGAGACTATTATAACTATTCTGATAAGTCTGTTGCGAGGAAACGGCTTGTGGATACTGTAATAGACTGAGGACACTAGTCTGTGTGTGTCAGTGATCTGTAGAGTGTACTCGTAGTTCCGAGTGGTGCAAACAAGTGGTCAATAAATCCAAGATCCAATATGGAGTCATCTTTGAACTAAAACTGAAATACATTTTATTCTGAGGGAAAATCGGTGTTGTGTCGGACATAAAGTGCATTAAGGAACTGGATCATTTTACTCTACATATGCCAGATTTCGGTTTCTCACGGCAGTGATTATGAAGAGTACTATCTCCCGGAATGTGATGTCGTGTAGACTGGTAGAATTTAGAGACTTTTCGGAAAATCATACTGCCTGCAGTTGAGGGTCGAAAAGAAAGCAAGCATAATTGCTCTACTTAATTTTTTTAACCTGAAAATAAAGGTATATATTTCTCCGAAACGTCCGGTTCTCTTCGAAATAAACACCGCTTTACCACAGATGATCATGCTGTTCGTAGTCACTGACGTGAGAACATCAAACTCGACTTCAAATATAACCATAAACCATATTATATGTAAACATGTAAACATGTAGTGTAGGGAGCAAGATCAAAGACACAAAATATATTGTTTGCACTTGAGACGGAGTTTATATCATTTATCATAACCATAAACCAGTTTTTAACGTACATTCTATAAAGCTTGTTCCCACTGACAAGTGCCCTTTTTGGAGAGGATTTAATTATATCCATTTGTAATTATGAGTAGAATATATTCAGGATAGCCAGCTACCGTTCAGTGAGGAATCTCTGATCCTGTATCATATCTGAACTCCTAGAGATTGAATTATTTTTATGGCCTAAAGAAATAAGTTCATGGTAGTTAGTAAAACAGACGAAATGTGCTCTATAAAGGACGCCTGTAAGGCCTATAGTTACTTACAGAAGTGAAAACTGGACCCTAGAAAGGAAAGAAAGCAACATGATCCAAATCTTTTAAGAATGATATTAAGCAGAGTTCATAGCGGCCTCCGTAGTCTAGAGGTAACGTTCCCACCTCATGACTCGTAGTACGCGGGTTCAAATACCCGGCGGAAGTCGTCGAATTTTTAAGGGCGGAAAAATTCAGGGAACAAGTCCTCCGGGAGGAACTTTAAGCCGTGGGTCCCGTGTCCTAGCTTTACGGCATGTAAAAGAACCTCATATCTCCAAACGAGGTCACTGAGCCAAATTACGGACGTTTCCTGCCCAACAGCAGTCTCTAATACCTCTGGTAGATGGGGAAGCATTATAGATACCTCTCAGCTAGTAGAGCCGGTCTCGCTGGCTGGGCGGGACTGATGGTAAGCACCAGTACCGGTAGTATATAGAGACTGGTAGAAATCATAGAGGGAAGCACAATGGACCAATACAGGTCTAAGTGCATGGGGAAACCCACCCTCTCCAATAACTAACTAACTAACTAAGCAGAATTCATGGCCCAATTTAGGAAAATGGCATATGGAGATCAAGGTATATCCAAGAACTTTATAAATCATGTCATGGATCAAATATAGTGAAAGAGATCAAAGCAGAACGATTGTGATGGTTGGGTCACCTTTTTAGGATGAAGGAGCAGCACCCTTGCAGGAAGTAAAATGTACGTAAACCAGAGGGTTCTCGACGAGTAGAAACTAAAGGTAAAAGGTAAAGTTGTCCCTGTGCTTAACTAATTAAGCACTACGCCAAAAAGGCGTATGGGGAGTGGATGTATAGATCCACATTTTCTTGACCTCGGCACTAGCTGGAGGTGAGTGGTCAGCTTCACGCCCCGGCCGCTTTACTCTCAGGGAAAGAGCTCCCGGTACCCGTTGGATAGGAGGTTGAATGGACCCCAG